TGACACAGATGATCTTCCATGCCATGATGTCAAACTGTCCTGCATCTGTTCTCTCGGTCACCCTCTGTCTTTCCTCCTTTCTAACTTCTCTACCGTCATGATGTTCTCCAGTTTTCTCCTTCTCATCACATGACCAAAGAACGTAGATTGTCTCTTTCTGATCTGTGCAATCAGTTCTCTTCATGAGTCAGTTTCTTTCAAGACATCTTCAACTCTTTTTATCTGTCCATATTATTTTAGCTATTTTAAAATAATTGTAGCAAACAAAATGCTTCCAATCCAGTATTTTATGGAGCTAATTTGACTGATATAAACACCAAGTACACTGACTACTGACTTGGGCTATCATGTTTTTCCTGAGCTTTCACGCTTTAGCAGTATGTATAATTCCATAATCCATATTTAGTCAGTCGACAGATCTTCCTCATTGCATACTGAACCATTCCAAATATGTATGTGTGTGTATACATATAAACACGCACACACATAAACACACACACACAAACACACACACATAGACATAGAGAGAGAAACATTGAGAGACTCTCTCTCTCTCTCTCTCTCTCTCTCTCTCTCTAACATTATGTCATCAAGCAAAACTGTCCTAAATTTTTGCTTCTCTATTTAGCTTGGTTTTGATCTGTTGGTCTTTCTGACACTATCAGAATATATCACACTATACTCCAGCTGTTCTCTTCTCTTTATTTCGCCAAATAATGTTGAACATTTCTGAGACAATATCACTTGTGTGCCTTTACATTTCACAATACAGAGATAACTTGGTTCTCAGTCTGCCCATTGTATTTGTAACATTCTTCTGTAAAACCACATTTCTGTGATTTCTGTGACCCCTGCATTCCTTTATTTACCCAATCTTCCCACAACAAAAAAAAAAGAACCCCCCCCCCCCCCCCCCCCCCCCCCCCCCCCCCCCCCCCCCTCCTTTTTTTTCCAGTGTTTGCCAGCTGTGAAAACCTGGTTGGTCATCCATCCATGCCTGAACTAGTCTTAATCATTAACTGTGCCCGCTCAAGTGGTTCTAAATTCTAATGTCAAGAACTTCTTCATGTATACTAATTGAAAAATTGACATCTCAACACACCAGGCATACCCATAGATGCTCCAAATCCCACAGCAAATCTCTTCAGATGTAGATGCTAATTGTTCCCGTAGCACACTGGTTATACACAACTCACTCTTGCTGGATCTTCACCTAATTCCATGTTCACACATTCTTACATGTTATTTATCTTCATGTTATAAACATGTTGCCTTTGCTTGTTCAATTCAATTTTTTTAATCGTGTAGTACATCTTTTATCTGATTTTATTTATTTATCAGAACATGGTTAAAAGTACAGGGAACCGACTTTACTGCACCCCTACTGTTAGACCTCACACTACTCAGCCTCTCTTCACAGAATGGCTATCTGCCTGCCAAGAGCATCAACTCTGTAGCTCCATCAAAGACTCCTCATAAAACCTACATCTATGAACTCAAAAATGCATCTGTGAAATGAACCCACACATTTCAGCATGTAAAGCAAGTGGTTTGGCCACTTCGCCACATAGACCCCCTTATTAGAACAATAGGATTCACAACTTTGGCTCAAAGTATTAAAATGATTATGTATTCTGATTTGTAACATAATATAACAGTTTATTTTAAAACAAAAAGAGAAACAGTGCAGAACAAAATCTGTGACTGCTTACTGTGACATCATAACAAGGGCACACTCAAGTGGGGCCAGCATCCGTCGGATCACATCCTCGGTCACCAGATCTCGACAGTTGAGTAAAAAGCTGTACATTGCTGCCAGGGAAAACAAATGAAAGATAAACAATTGGTTTCAACTGCTGCTTGTGATTTTAACTCTCTCTCATTCCTCTACACATTTTATTTTTTAAATTTAACAATAACAATTTCCACATGAAGGATTTACAAAAGTAGGAAAGATGTTCACATATAATCACAGCATATATCATAATAATACCACATGGTAAATAAGCCAGAACTTGTGCATAGCAGGGCTATCCAACAAAATTTATTCAGGGATCAACATTCTGAAAACGGGGATCACCACAGACCAGAGGCCCAAGCCCCAGTACAGTAAAGGTCATTGATACAATATAACCGGCAACAATCTGTAAGCTGCTTGCTAGGCCTCCATAGGCCAGATCAGGCCCCCAGGCCGCCAGCTGAAAAGCCCAGAAGCAGAGAGAGATACTTCCAAAAGTATATACTACCAGTGGGATACACATATAGCTAAAGTGGCCAAGAAGTGGCTCCCTAAGTGGATAGATAGCTGCGTTTTCATACAGGAGAACCCGGTCAACTTCTTTAATAGGGTGGAGGACATTTTTTGTATTCCTGTTGGGGCAAAAATAAACTTTTATCCTGCACAGTTGGTGACAAATGCACTAGCCACACAGGCCTAACTAATCCAGCTCCAGACCCCTCTGTCCAACACCATCCTAAAACCTGGTAAATACAGGAAGTGAAGACAGGTTGATTTTTCATTAGCCCCCTTGAGATTATTTTTTATTTTTTTTGCTTGCCTCACTCACAGCTGAGATTTATGACTGTTTTATGACTAAAAATCACCAAATGGTACTTATTTTCAACCCCAAAAAAGTAATTTACTATCAAATTATGCCAGCGCTAAGGTACAACCTTTGAAGCACATATTTTGAGTGCATAACAAGACAAAATACCCTGGTAAGGCCATTTCTAGAAACAAGGGTGAACACCAAACAAGGAAGAGGATGACAATTTGTTAAATGTGAGGATAACATCACCAGATGCTCTGGAAAGAGAATGTTCGACTAATTCTTCATGGAGAAGAAAGGTAATGGCGATACACTGCTTCCAACTTCGATACAAAGATGATCTGAGGGTTTAACTGAAAACCAACTGATGTAAACATGTCATCTCTAACGTATTAAACATCAAATAATGTGCCGGCACCTCCTAAAGCTCCTGCTCTTCCTTCCAGGGTCACCTGCCATGTGAAAGCTTCACCTCGTACTTTCTCAGACTCCAGCTCCCTCACTGACCTGGGAAATGCATTTCTCCACAACAGCAGCATGCGGGGAAGATGATTCTTAATTACTGAAGGCCCTGTGAGGGGAAAAGACAGTTTTGTTTTAATTCAATAAGCAATATCCTCTTACTTATCATAAGTTTTTAAAACAAAAGATATATACATTATCATTTCAAATAAATGTGTTCTTCAACAACTATGATATTCATTTAGTGCTCCCCATTTCCTATAAGATGTAGTGTTTATATTTCACAACAAACTGATATTATCTGCACTTTTATATTTCACATCAAGTTGATGTCATCTGTATTTGTGAGAATTTGTAAGTAGAAATTGTGTCAGAAACATATATAAATTTAGCTGAAATTTACCTGGGAGCCACTAGATGCTTACCTGCCGGCCTAAAAGTCTTAGGCTCAAATCCACATAAAAGTGGATTTTAACAAATTGAACGAGTTTCCCAAATTTACAGTCTAAAATGAGTACTAGGCTGCATCATGGGAAGTTGAATCTTGAATTAAGAATCGGCATCATAGCACTCGGGACATCAGCATAAGCGCTCCGTCCCCATTTTCAGCAGCGAACTAAAAGTTTAAATCCAATGGCACCAGTAACTGTCTGATTGTATATCATCGTGTGAAGTCTTCTTCTTCTGCGCATTCACCGGCTGTAAACTCCGACGGAAAGTTCTGGTTGTTGGTCCATCTTTGAAATTTAGTATTGTTCTGAACCTGAGTGTTGTGTGCACATCCATTTTACAGATCTGTTTTATTTGTATGCAGACTGTTGATTCCTTGCCTCGCAGGCAAATGCACTTCGACTTTGAAGGAACCCCTTAATTAGTTGACTCTTATGGCATGCTTGTTGGGGAGGCAGTGGGTCTATTCTTGTTTTCCCCACAATGGGGTTCTGGAACCCACACAGGGTATCGAGGGAAGTAAAGGTGGTAGTATGAGACTATATTACCCATCCAGTGCCGATTGGTCTACAGAAATATGAGTCTAACATCACATGTCCAATGCACCACTGGCATAAAAATGGTCCTTTACAAGTGATTTCTTTGATATGACTATTCCTACAGAAATGATTGTAAAGTAACAAAGTAAAGATCCCTTTTCACACCTTTGGGCACATCGGGCAGATGGGAATAGAACAAATATTTTTACAGACCAATAAGCACTAGGTGGGTAATGTGGTCAGCATTACGCCGGCTGTCAGGATATTAATACATTAACTAAAAATAGCATTTTAAAAAAGTTTTTTTATGTGCTAAAGGTCCTTTTTTGAAGCTAAAATGATAGATTTTCTCATAAGCCTCAGTGGTACGGTTCACGGGGTCACTGCATGAATCACCTGACATGGTGTATTTATTAGGCCCCAGGGACTGTATTCCATTTAATGCTTCACCCTGTTTGTGTTAATTGATTACTTCTTTCATATATCTTGATATATTCTGAGTTTTTGTGGCGAAAAGGGTTTAATTGTTCACTGCTTTTAAGGTTTGTTGCACTGATTAGGTTGATCAGATTAGTAATGTATAAAATTCAATATGCAAGGATATCTACTTAAGTGAATTTCCCTGGCTCACACATTCTACATCTGGCTGGGTTTTTTTTTCTTGGTTTTTTTAAAATATTTGTTGTAAACAATGTTGCATACTATATTAGCATACTTCTGACTTTCTACATTCTATGACAGTAACATATTACTCCTAGTAGATTAAAGCAGATTTCAATCTGCATGAGAGTCTGTTGTAACATATTACTCCTAGTAGATTAAAGCAGATTTCAATCTGCATGAGAGTCTGTTGTGCTCTCTCTCTCTCTCTCTCTCTGAAATATAGAACGCTTCTTGATGTTCACTCCCATCTTTTCTTTCTCTCTAAATGCATACGCACGCATGCACGCACACACACACCTGAATATGAAATAACAGAGTTCAAAGTTCACCATGTTACCTAAAGTCATGAGGGCCCCTAGTAGCAGCCATCCGGACTGAGTTCTCTGTAAAGACAGCCGACTGTTCTGTGACGCTGTCCTCAGTAGTTCCTCTGCTATACTGAATATTTGCTGTGCACAAGTGGACAAATAGACTTGTTAATTAAAATAACAAGCCACCAAAGCATCATGTTTAAAAATGCTAACTACCCAAGCCCCAGCCCCCCCCCCCCCCCTCCCCCCCCCCCCCCCCCACCCCCCCCCCCCCCCCCCCCCCTCCCCCCCCCCCCCCCCCCCCCCCCCCCACCCCCTCCCCTCCCCCCCACACCCCGTACCCCCCACCCCCCTCCAAGCTGCTGAGCGAATATTTTGCCGCCTAATTTAAAAGAACAAATGTATTAGGTGATATCTTTATCTAGAATTTCTGAATTTCTCAGGAAGACGGTCCAAAAAAATGGTTGGAGTCTCTAAAGTAGGCAGGGCTGACACATATCAGTTTCATCTTTGTGCAAAGGAACACAGGCGTACAAGGAAATGAGCAGACTGACAGGCTTGCAGGTAAAGCTACTGCAGATGGCGGACGAGCCATGGACCAGGCAGATATTCTGAATGTTCTATAAGAAGTAAGATATCTGCGAAAACCAAAGTGATTACTGGGATTCTGCATTCATGACTGCAAGAACAACATGTTAAAAGGGGTGTGGCCTGATAAGAGCACTATGCAGGGAGCTAAAGATGAATAAGAAACCAACACAAAACTAGTATCGTCAGCCACTACACACTGCAGGATTTACTAAGGAGGGAATCCATACACTAAGGAGGGAATGGTTCGATATGCAATAAAGATAATATGTCTGTTAACTAACTTTATCTAAAATTAAGGTCATTAGCAATCAGGTAAACTAAAATGTGTTCAGTCTCCTCGGTAAGTATAAAAAGTAAAAGGGTACTGACTGACTGCATTACCCTATATATATATATATAATTACACACGCACGCATGCATGCACCAGCGTGCATGCGTGTGTTTAAAGATGTTTTAACAGGTATTAAATGAATATATATTTTTTTTTTTAAAGAGCAACTTTCTGTGTGTTTTAGTACTTTTTCACACACACAAAATATGGTACTATGATTTTTTTTATTGGGATTAAGCCCTGTGAATCTGTTATTCCCTACAAAACAATTCTGAGTGACATGGCAAACTAAAGACCTGAGACATGTTAATTAATCTTTTGTATAAGATTCATAATTAGGTGATCCTTTCAGTCTACATGAGCTGTTCTGTGTTCATCCAATGTGTCCCCAAATTCGGAACTTCTGGATCTGTAACACCTCAGCTCAACAATTACCAAGATAATCTTCTTCTTCTTCGTGTTCACAAGCTGTAAACTCTGGAGGAAAGTTCTGGTTGTTCATCCACTTCTGGACTGCAGTCCTGTTCCAGAACCTGAGTGTTGCGTGTGCATCCGTTTTACAGATCTGAATCATTTGTATGCAAACTGTTGGTTCCTTGCCTCTCAGGCAGATGCACTCCGATTTCGAAGGAAGCTCACAATCAGTTGACTCTTACGCATACATCTGCGTAGGCAGTGGGACTATTCTGTTTTTTTTTTTTTTTTTTTTAAATTTAAGGACTTTAGGATTTAAGGTTTTCCATAAATGAGTCCAAATTTAAATATTTATACAGCAAAGGCTTTTAAAAAATTAGGTGAGGAAGAATAAAACAAACTGGTTACAATGTCTGGAACATCAGTTCTGCAAAGATTTCATTATAATAGACAAAGAAGGATAGAATGAAACTAGTCTCCCTACCTTTCCCTTTGAATGTGGAATTCCCAGTGGACACTGATAGACTCCCCCCAGTAAAGCTGCTAGAGCACTGCTGTAGCCAGCTACAGCTTCTGGGGATGAGCGCAGCTTGTCCATTCTCTCCACACAACGGTCCAGTAAAGGGGTCAGCTGGGATGGCAGGGCTACCGCAATACTGGCCAAACACCAAGATGCTGACAACCGGGCAGCATGGCAAGGATGTATGAGCACAGACACCACGGGTTCCACTATACCTGAAACAGACAACATGTGGCATATAATTTCTGAAATATTCGACTTCCAGGCCAGTGTGGGGGTTAGCTGGCTGATCGCTGATGCTCTGAAAAGTTATTTGTATCTGAACAGAGTTTGCTGATGCTCATTCCCCAAATTCTGGACTGGCAGTCCAAAGGTTGCATTACCAAGCTACTCAGCTGAGTTGAGGTGAGTTAGGAATTGACATCACAGCACTCGAGGCATTCCCATACATGCTCCATCCCCATCCTCAGCAGCCAGCGCAGAGTTCCAATACTAATGGTGCCAGTCGTAGTCTGGTTGTATGTCTGCCTTGCCTTTCCTCTGAGCATAGTGTGCAGGCCGACCCTTCTCATCAGACCCAGGTGCATCATTCTCTCCAGTCCATAATAATCTAGTTTCTATTCTGACTTCGCTACGTGTTCCAAAAGGGCTCTGACACACACACACGCACGCGCGCGCACACACACACACCCCCCCCCCCCACACCACACCACCCCAATCAAATCAAATCAAACACAAAATCTAAAACTGGTGGAGGAAGTCCTCTACAGGAATTTTCTGAAAGGCACAGTTCAATGGAAAATGAACAAGAAACAAGCATATGAAACAGCCATTAAAGCAAGAATATTCAGTTCATACTTTTACAGAGCTGGGCAAATTTCTGCAACAAAGACAAGTGGTCTGCCATGCCTGGTTACCTTCAGCACCAGAATCCAAATAACTAACATGCAGATGGTAATTTCTTAATTTCTTTACTTTTATTTTAATGAACTACTGACGTTTCTCCATTAAAATTTTGTTTTTCTCAGTGCAAATGAAATAGTAAAATAAAATAGAAACTAATAAAACAATATATAATTTTTTAAAAATCAATTAGCTAACATTCAAACTGACAAAAATAATCTGAGCGAAAGCGATTAAGTTGACACTCTGTAGTCTGACAAAAGGTAGCAAAGAGAACATGACTAACCTGTGGCAGGCTCTGCTACCAGTGGACTGGCTGATGTACCTAGTCTCAGTACCAGACATCCCAGCTCATGCAGAGCGCACACCAGTACATGCTGACTCACTGACAGGTCTGACCCCAGGCCTTTACCTTCAGACGCTTCCACAGTGGCTTCACCTGTTTAAAGACAATACCTTCATCAGCAGCTCAATCACTTGTTTCTGTAACAGTCTCAGCTATTTATGTGATGTCCAGATTTTTTTAATCTTTAAACCTTTTTCCTTGTCTTTTTTATAAAATACTTTCCTTTTTCATAAATGTTTCTAAATATGACAATGAGTATTAAACTGGTGAAGAAACTGAAGGAATTGAAATAAGGTTTTTGAGAAGAATGTTGCCAATACTATGTTCATTCATTTATTCATTATCTAATTGTATAACCATATGTCTCAGAGAGCTCGCAGTCTATCTCTCCTTTCTATCCTGTGCAATCACTTGGATATCACGGATGGAATCCAGTCCAGCATCTTTGGCTTCTCTCACAAACTTTCATTTTAGGGTTCTCTTGGATTTCCTCATTCCCTCAATCTTGCAATTTCTCATCTCAGTGCCTGCGAATCTTGTACACAACAACAAACACAACAAACTGATAATATACATTTATTTAGTATCAAAATGTCACCACCACATGAAAATATCTGATAAATAAATGAAAGACACTGAGCATGTGATGGGTTTTCTTCTTTAATCATTCTTAAAATGAGATTTGCTGACAAATAGAGCCTTAATGAGTCTGAGATATGTTACTCCATATATGAAGATCAGTTATGTACTGCCTTAATGAATCTAAGTAATGTTCTCCATATATGAAGATCAGTTATGTACTGCCCTAGTGAGTCTGAGATATGTTACTCCATATATGAAGATCAGTTATGTACTGCCTTAGTAAGTCTGAGATATGTTACTCCATATATGAAGATCAGTTATGTACTGCCTTAGTGAGTCTGAGATATGTTACCCCATACATAAAGATCAGTATGAACTGCTTTAGTGAGTCTGAGAAATGTTACTTCATACATGAAGATCAGTATGAACTGCTTTAGTGAGTCTGAGATATGTTACTTCATACATGAAGATCAGTAAGTATTGCATCAGTGAGTCTGAGATATGTTACTCCATACATGAAGATCAGTTATGTACTGCCTAAGTGAGTCTGAGATATGTTACTCCATATATGAAGATCAGTTATATACTGCCTTAGTGAGTCTGAGATATGTTACTCCATACATGATGATCAGTATGAACTGCTTTAGTGAGTCTGAGATATGTTAACCTATACATAAAGATCAGTATGAACTGCTTTAGTGAGTCTGAGGTATGTTACTTCATACATGAAGATCAGTAAGTACTGCATCAGTGAATTTGAGATATGTTACCCCATACATGATGATCAGTTATGAACTGCCTTAGTAAGTCTGAGATATGTTACTCTATAAAAGAAGATCAGTACGTGCTGCCTTAGTCAGCCTGAGAGGCCTGGCTCTAAATCTGACAGTAAGGGATCAACTGCCTTATTGAGTCTGAGATATGTTACTCCATACATAAAGATCAGTATGAACTGCCTTAGTGAGTCCGATATATATGTTACTCCATACATAAAGATCAGTATGAACTGCCTTAGTCAGCCTGAGATAAGTTACTCTATATAAGAAGATCAGTACATGCTGCCTTAGTCAGCCTAAGAGGTGTGGCTTCAAACCTGACGGTAAGGGATCAACTGCCTTAGTGAGTCTGAGAAATGTTACTCCATATATGAAGATCAGTATGAATTGCCATAGTGACTCTGAGATATGTTACTCCATACATAAAGATCAGTATGAACTGCCTTAGTCAGCCTGAGAGGCATGGCTCTAAATCTGACAGTAAGGGATCAACTGCTTTAGTGAGTCTGAGATATGTTACTCCATATAAAAAGATCAGCAGTCTGAGAGGCAAAAATAAAAATCTTCAGTCGTGACGACTGCTTTATTAAGACTCATAATATGTGCATTCAAATCTGAGTCAAACATATTTATACATTCAAGTAAATATAGAAACTTTAAATTCTCTCATTTCACGTGAACAGAGACACCTACCGACAGTATTCATCTGTTTCACAATGATCTGGCAAATCTCCTTGGCTGCAGCAATCTGAGCCTTCTCTCCCAGCATGCCACCGATGACAGAGCGCATGATGAACTGGACACACTTGCGGGCATACACCACATCCACATGCGATGGTGAAGGTCGCGTGTTGGCCACCAACTCCAGAACATGAGACAAGAACACAGAGATGTTCCTCTCCAGCCACAGCCCTCCCATGCATTTAATGAATTCCACATAAGCCTGCCAGTAGAAAAGGATTAGTGTTGATGTACCATAGTTATGTTGTTAAACACTTGGTCCTTTGTCATGACTGTTGAATTTTCTTGAAAGCCATGCCAAGTGGGTCTGGTCATTATGTCTGTCTACAACAGTGGTTTTTAACCTAGGTGGTGCACCCAACACTATACTTACTGAGACTGTCTAACATACATACTGGGATTGTCCAACACTATACTTACTGAGACTGTCTAACATACATACTGGGATTGTCCAACACTATACTTACTGAGACTGTCTAACATACATACTGGGATTGTCCAACACTATACTTACTGAGACTGTCTAACATACATACTGGGATTGTCCAACACTATACTTACTGAGACTGTCTAACATAGATACTGGGATTGTCCAACACTATACTTACTGAGACTGTATAACATACATACTGGGATTGTCCAACACTATACTTACTGAGACTGTCTAACATACATACTGGGATTGTCCAACACTATACTTACTGAGACTGTCTAACATACATACTGGGATTGTCCAACACTATACTTACTGAGACTGTCTAACATACATACTGGGATTGTCCAACACTATACTTACTGAGACTGTCTAACATACATACTGGGATTGTCCAACACTATACTTACTGAGACTGTCTAACATACATACTGGGATTGTCCAACACTATACTTACTGAGACTGTCTAACATACATACTGGGATTGTCCAACACTATACTTACTGAGACTGTCTAACATACATACTGGGATTGTCCAACACTATACTTACTGAGACTGTCTAACATACATACTGGGATTGTCCAACACTATACTTACTGAGACTGTCTAACATACATACTGGGATTGTCCCAACACTATACTTACTGAGACTGTCTAACATACATACTGGGATTGTCCAACACTATACTTACTGAGACTGTCTAACATACATACTGGGATTGTCCAACACTATACTTACTGAGACTGTCTAACATACATACTGGGATTGTCCAACACTATACTTACTGAGACTGTCTAACATACATACTGGGATTGTCCAACACTATACTTACTGAGACTGTCTAACATACATACTGGGATTGTCCAACACTATACTTACTGAGACTGCCTAACACCATAGTCACTGGGACAGTTGTCCAACACTATACTTACTGAGACTGTATACATACATACATACTGGGATTGTCTAACATACACTTGTCCAACACTATACTTACTGAGACTGTCTAACATACATACTGGGATTGTCCAACACTATACTTACTGAGACTGTCTAATATACATACTGGGATTGTCCAACACTATACTTACTGAGACTGCCTAACACCATAGTCACTGGGACAGTTGTCCAACACTATACTTACTGAGACTGTCTAACATACATACTGGGATTGTCCAACACTATACTTACTGAGACTGTCTAACATACATACTGGGATTGTCCAACACTATACTTACTGAGACTGTCTAACATACATACTGGGATTGTCCAACACTATACTTACTGAGACTGTCTAACATACATACTGGGATTGTCCAACACTGTACTTAAAGAGACTGTCTAACATACATACAAGGATTGTCCAACACTATACTTACTGAGACTGTCTAACAAACATACTGGGATTGTCCAACACTATACTTACTGAGACTGTCTAACATATTTACTCGATTGCCCCCCACCATACTTAAAGTGACCGTCTAACATACTTGAATTTACTGGGATTGTCCAACATTATGCTTAGTGGGACTATCTAAGATGATACTTACTGAGATTGCCTAACACCATAGTCACTGGGACAGTCTACCATGATGCTTTCTAAAATTGTCAGAACATTATATACTTACTGAAATTGTGAGAACTTTATTCTTACTGGAACTGTCTAGGATTATACTCACTGGGACTGTCCAAAACTATACTTAGTGGGATTGTCAAACACAGTGTTTATTATGATTATCAAAGACTGTTTTCTAGGAATATCAAAAACAAAGACTTTTGTTTTCTAGGAATATCAAAGACTATGTTTTCTAGGAATATCAAAGACTTTTGTTTTCTAGGATTATCAAAGATTATGTTTTCTAGGATTATCAAAGACTGTTTTCTAGGAATATCAAAGACTATGTTTTCTAGGAATATCGAAGACAATGTTTTCTAGGAATGTCGAAGACTTATGTTTTATAGGTGTATCAAAGACTTATGTTTTATAGGTATGTCAGACTATATTTTCTAGGATTAACAAAGACTTTTTATAGGACTGTCAAAGACTATGTTTCCTAGGATTATCAAACACTGTTTTCTAGGACTGTCAAAGACTATGTTTTCTAGGATTATCAAACACTGTTTTCTAGAATTGTCAAAGACTGTTTTCTAGGATTATCAAAGACTTTTTTCTAGGATTATCAAAGACTGTTTTCTAGGATTGTCAAAGACTATATTTTCTAGGAATATCAAAGATTATGTTTTCTAGGAATATCAAAGATTGTTTTCTAGGATTGTCAAAGACTATGTTTTCTAGGATTACCAAAGACTATGTTTTCTAGGATTATCAAAGACTATGTTTTCTAGGATTACCAAAGACTATGTTTTCTAGGATTATCAAAGACTGTTTTCTAGGATTGTCAAAGACTGTTTTCTAGGATTGTCAATGACTGTTTTCTAGGATTATCAAAGACTGTTTTCTAGGATTGTCAAAGACTATGTTTTCAAGGATTACCAAAGACTATGTTTTCTAGGATTATCAAAGACTATGTTATATAGGAATATCAAAGACCATGTACTAACATTGTCCAACACTATACTATTACAAAGTCTCATAGAGAAATCTAGGGGGGAGAAACAGAGAAGGAAAACCTTGCCTGAGACTCACTCGCTTACAATGTGTGTGGTAACAAGTCGTGCATAGGGACATGCAGAAGTAGTGTTCAACTCTTAGTTAATGGGAGCAAGCAAACAGCAGCATGTGTCCAGACTTATACTGCTCTAGCCACAAAATGTAGTCTCAAAAGTTGTTTATTTAAAAATCTGTTTGACGGTTTATGTTTTAGAATCTAGCAGTATAAAGTAAAATTACTTCTAACTGCTCACGAACTTGCCAGCACAGCGAGAGTTCCTTTCCCTCCTATTTATGCACAACCTGTCCTATGTTGTGGGGTGTTACGAGATGTAATCATTCGGTGTTCACTCGCTGTATATAATGTCTGTGGGAGGTTGTGTTGTCAACAGTCTCTTTGAGGCACCGCAGGCGCCTGTGTACAAGTAAGTAGTACTGCAGGGGGAAGCGCCAAAGGAGCATTTGTTCTTGAGTATCAAATCTGGGATGTTTTGTATTTCTATGTTCCCTGGCGGTGACATCCTCCCAGAGAAAGAAGAAACTGACAAGGAACATGGCAATAAAAAAACATCCTAGTTTGGATACTCACGAACAGTTGGGCAAGTAGCACAACATGGAAAAAATCCTGCAAGTGAGCAGTGACAACATGTGAAAATAGAGAGCGGTTAAACCATTGAAAATAAGGAACACATGACACCCCCACAACATAGGACAGGTCATGGGACTGCCGTGGCATGAATGGGAGGGGAAGGAACTCTCGCTGTGCAGGCAAATTCGTGATAAGTACCTGACTTTTATATGCAAACTTTTATTTAGTTATTAATTCCTTTTGTCCAAGACAGTAGCTATTTTAAAGTAACCACTGTCTCTAATTAAAAGAAACAACTACTGAGTCTATCATGAGTCAAATTAACAACTGTCTGGCTCAGAAAGGGTCAAAATAATGAACACTAGAAGGATATTATGGGGGGGAGGGGAGAGGGGGAAAGAGGGGGAGAGAGAGAGAGAGAGAGAGAGAGAGAGAGAGAGAGAGAGAGAGAGAGAGACAGACAGACAGACAGACAGACAGACAGACAGACAGACAGACAGACAGACAGACAGACAGACAGACAGACAGACAGACAGACAGACAGACAGACAGACAGACAGACAGACAGACAGGACAATTGTTTCAGGTCCAGAAGATTATGCCAGTGATCCCCAAGTAGAGAAATAACCACCATGGAAAACCATAAGTGACATACTGTCAAACCTGCCACATACACAGTAGGCAGATTTCTTTGCCATGCTCTGACCAAAAGTAAAAGGATACAATGAGCAGTGTTTGGGCTTCGTAGGAAAGAGGCAATCGGGCGCCATGTATTGTTTGGGAGTAATATATTTAAAGCAGTCACAGGAGACAGACTAGTAGAGTTGACAAAAGAGTCCAAAATGACTGTCAGGAAAAAATCTGGAATCTGCAATTTCCAAAAAAGATTATAGACATGAAAGTGTGATCTGGTAGATATTTCAGCATTTCAGCTTCAGAGGAAAGGCAAAATGAACATACTGAATGATCAGATAACAAATGTCACCATCAGTGCTAGAACTCTGTGCCAACTGCTGAAGTTAGGGATACAGTGTTTATGGGAATGCCTTCAGTGCTGTGATGTCAGTTTGTAACTATTACAAATTGAAAAAAATTAAACATAAAACATTACTATCACAAAGTTTTAGACTACAATAAGTTTAATCTGTATGGTGAACACCATTGAAACAACAAATTTTGGGATTCTATCAAATGCAATTTTAACAAAAAATAAATGATAGCAAAATATGAGTAACGAAACATACATGGGTGATGCCCACTCTGATCTCTCTGCTGATTGTATTGGAACCTTTTATCATCTCCCCTGCTGAGGATGTCTTCAAGAATCCTCCCAGGGTGCCCTTGTTGAATCCTGAAGCAAGTATCATCAAGACATCCTCCAATCGAGCAGGCTTGACCTTTGCTGAAAAATAAATTAGTGATTCAGATAAAGAAATCTGATCGATTCTGTCCTCAGGCAATAAAAGTTAAAGATCCATATCTAGCCACAGTGACTTCTTCTCCTTTTCTTCATGTTCACTGGCTGTAAACTCTCGCTGAAAGTTCTGATTGTTTGTCCACTTCTGGACTCTAATCCATTTCCAGAAACTGAATTTTGCGTGCAAATCCATTTTACAGGTCTGACTCATTTGCATGCAGAATGTTTGTTCCTCACCTCTCAGGCAATTGTACTCCAACTCTGAAGGAAGCTCCCAATCAGTCGACTCTTACTACATGCTTTCGGGTAAGCAGCGGGTCTATTCTTGTCTTCCCTATAATGGGGCCCCGAACTCACAGGGGGATCCACGGTGATAAATCTGGGTATATGGTACCATAAGGCAATTTCTAGAGGTTCATCAGAACTGCAGTTTTAATTGTTGGAAGAGTTAGTCATGACAAACTGGTTGCGCACATCCAATATTACCGCATAAGTCTCCTCACCAGTCCAAATGCAAACCAGCCACCAGCCATTTTTTCAGAACACTATACACACCCATGCAGGCAAAGATGAAAAGTATTTCACACAACATTCAGAGCTTACTGTGCTGCACAATGCACTCATCTCAGTAGCTTAGACAACAAAAACATATGTAGAAACGGCATTAACACACTGTGTTTAGAAAAAAAAAAAAAAAACATCAAGATGATAAGGACTGCTGATCTATGCACCATACTGGACCCGAGGAGAGGTAAAAGTGTTCAACACCTCACAGGATTTTAGAGGAGAAATTAGCACAAACATTGTGTTAACAAAAGCGTCAAGTTAATTCCTAGCTGAAACAAAATGAGCCCTACAATGGGTCCTCGGGTATCAACTCAATCTCAAATAATGTGGGCACCAGAGACTTCTCAAGAAAATGAAGGCCAGGTGGAAGGGAACTGGCCACACTACTTCATAATATTGTAACTTAATTTACCTTAACATAATAAAAGCACACCTCTGCAGTTATAACTATCTGACATGAAACAATTAGTTTAACATAATGCACACCTCTGCAGTTATAAGGTAACCATTTTACCACTCAGATCAGAATCTTAAGAAGAAATCAGTAATATGTACCTAAATTGCTAGTATATAAACACATTACATACTCTGCCTGTACTTAGGATGAGAATGTAAGAAAACAATAAGTCACAACTAGGTGTTATTACCGTTAGGCTGCTTTGGTGCTTGTGCAGCAGCCATCAGGTTACCAAGCAGCTTGGCAATGGTACATCGAGCATCATAGTTGGATCCATCAAGAGCTCGGAAACACAGAGATGCTACAGCCTCCAACTCTGTGGTGCTCATAAATGGGGCCTCATTGACAAGTTCATGCATACACTGGGAAGTGGACATGAAAATGTGGGACATGTTATCCTAACTAAAACTGTTAAAATGTTATATCTGTTATTATGTTTATAGAATTAAAGAAAGTGGTAATGAACCAATTACATCATCATCATACAGCAGGGCCTTTACAGAAAGCTCAGATGTTTTCTTCAAAGGCTGAGAAACAGTCCCTGACTCTCAGATATAAGTTGCCACTGAAAAGATGCATGATCTCAAAATGTTTAACTCACTTGCAAGTGCTGTGCAATAGGTACTTACCGCATAACAAGTCAAATTCTGGTGGCTGATTAGTTATAATTTTTTTTTTAAAGTAAACAAATAAATATTCAGGTATGATATCATGTCTCTGAAACAAAGTGGCAAGATTCTACTTCCAAGTAAAATGGTATATACACTCAAATCTTCATTTCTTTGACCCCCATGTAATGGATTTTCAAAGCAACAAACAAAATCTTGAGCAGTTAATTTTGTGTCTTTCAGTTTCAAACTGCATGCCATGGACAGAGTTGTGGCAAAATTGTATGTAAAGTAAAGGACCCTTTTCCAGGCCTTTAGGCGTATAGGGCATTTTTGGCTAGACCTATATTTATAGACCAATCGGCACAAGATGGGTGATGTGGTCAGCATCACGCAGGCCGCCTCTACTTCCCAGGACTGCACCCAGTACCCACTCAAGGCTGGGTCGACCTGGGAGACAAGGTAATTTTTGAAAAAAGTCCAGTTCCGCCAGGAAGCGAACCCACGACCTTCCGAACCGCAGCCAGCGTCCAGCCGTTCCGCCGTGGCAGCTCCCAAGAAAGTAAAGATCCTTTTTTAAGCCTTAGGTGCATCAGGCATATGGCAAGAGCACCCATATTTTTTAAGACCAATCGGTACTAGCTGGGTAATGTGGTCAGCATTACGCCGGTCGTCTTTACTTTCCCAGGACATACATCCTGGTACCCATTTAAGGCTGGGTCGACCTGCGACTCCCCCATACTATGATAAAAATCCACGTAGCCAGCAGTGGGTTTTGATCGCGGTACTTTGGAATTACAAGTCCAACTTGCAACGCCTAAGCCATGAAAGCCGCTTAAAGTTTTGTTTAGAGCAGAAAAAGAAAATAATGTGTAAATTATTATAATTACAGTGTATAGGTATTTTACACTGTCATATTTTATGTTGTGTTTGATTAACAGTATTATTTCATTTCTTGTCCTAATGTAATTGATAATACTAACAATGAAAAAATTTAGCAGTGTATCCTTTACAGAACACAGCAAACCAACCCCAGCATTTGTTGGCTGCCACTACTTTCGGTCAAAATGGACGCTAGGCACGGTCACTGTTGTGAGCCATGGCACATTTTTTTGTGTGTGCTTCTGCCAGACGGTGGCCAGTGCATTTTCGCTCCATCTGTAGGCTGAAAGGATAGTTTCGTCGCCCAGCTTCTGAGATGAGTGCATGGTGTGACACTATGAGCTGCTGATTTAATCTGGATTGTTTTTTTACTGTAACCAACGTGGCGGTGTGAATTTAAGATTCATAAAATGGCGCGATACCTGTTGTCACAATATTGGTGGTGCCATTAAGTGATTAAAATTGATCGTGTGTGTAACTGCTGATCTGTTGGCGACTTCTGCTACCATCTATGATGAAATGCATTTTTATTGTCAGACTGTCTGTGTTAGCACTTTGAATGGCTACCGCATGCTTTTAATGCGTGTGTATGCTAGTGCATATGCTGAGACAGCAGTCTGTCAATCTTTCCAAAAGGAACTGTGATAAACATTATGTGTGTTTTTCGTTGGTACAGGAGCGGAGCAACTATGGGGTGACCCGTTTGCTATGAAGTTGAAACTAAGACTACCAGATTTTGTTGGCTGTTCATGGTTTCGCAAGGCAGTTTTACGTTCAGTAGTTTGACAATGCTTACTAAACGGTTGACTCTTTATACAATCGTCTAGTTCAACACAAAGCTACTGCAGAGATTAGTTAGGTAAGTAATACAATCAGAAATATTGGATAGATATTCCAATATCTATGTCCATTACAATGAACTCAGGACAGAAAAATAGTATGGATCAGTGTCAAAAAAAAAAAAAAACATCCTAAGTATAGCTTGCCAATCAGAGCTGAAAATAAACACACTTTTGTGCAATATGTGAAACAGCCTTTTTAACAACTGACCTTTGCAGCCGCCTGTCTTACAGCCATTGACCTATCAGTCATTGCCTGCCTGCAGGCTTTGTAGATATCTTTGTGTGCAGTGAATCCTGCAGAGCCCAAGCCAAACACCAACTTCTCCAGGGTCTGCATGATCTCAAACCGTCCTTGTGACTGAATGGAAACAATTGTTTTAAATTCAGTTTAGTAATCGGCCCCTCTCCCCTGTGTGTATGTGTATGTGCAAAAATGAATTTGTATGTGTGTACACATATATATCCCCTTTTCAGCTTTGACTGACTGTAAACTGAGGTGGAAAGTTCTGGTTCTTCATCCACTTCTGGACTTTGGTCAATTCCAGAACGTGAGTTGTGTGTGCACACCCATTTACAAATCTGGCTTTTTTGTCAGCAGATGCACTCCGATTTTGAAGGAAACATCCCTAATTAGTCACTTCTAAACTGTTTGTTAGAGAGGCAGTGAATCTATACATGGGGATATGAATATATGTACTTAATGCCATTTTTTTAATTGGTGCTGTATATTATGCAATTGCTAAATAAACTGAACAAAAATACAAATCCTGTTTTAAAGATTAATGGCTGAAAAGGCCAAATATAGGACTGGCCTATGTGCCCAATTTCTGACCCTTTGAACAAAAAACTAATACTCTTGTTCCCTGTCTGTCTCAGTCAGTCATTAGGTCAGTCAGTTATTATCTCTCTTGATCTCCCTTTATCTACCTCTCTCTTTCTCCCTTCCACCTCCCTTTCACTCTTTTATTCTCAATTTTTTATATATGTTTATAAAAACTATGTTTTCTAATATACTCTTCCTTGTTTTTGTTAACTTATACACTGATTTATACCAACTAAATGTTTACTGTATTATACTGAAATCTGATAAATATTCAGAAAGTTATTTCTCGGGTTAAATAAAATATCACAAACAGAGTAAACTAGATTTATCATTCCAATGTTTACAGACACAAACTTTAAAAACAGCTGATTCAACAACAACAACAAATACCACTACTGTTACCTCAGAGTTCTTGAGTGATTTGATGAGAATCTGAACTGTGTCCTCGTATGACCTTCCTGTCATTCTTCCCAGTTTCTCATACATGGCCCCCAAGCAGGCTACAGCAGCTCTGGAAACCATGGTATTTCATTAATTTTTTCTTTTCTTCTTCTGTCCTCTGTTTCCCAATATAGGCCTCACCCAAATCATGCGTTGTCATATCTTTTGCAAGCAAGTGTAGCTAAACACTTCAAGCCCTCCATATCTCTTTTCTCTTCACTCTCTAATTACCAGTTCATTGGGGGGGGGGGGGGGGGGGACATGGGCTGCCTTTATTCCTTTGATTCTGTGGCTTCCACTGCAATGACATTCTTATTTCACTGTTATCAGGTTTTCTCAACATGTGTCCTTAGGCCAGCATTTTTTCTTCACCTCTTAATTCAATGGAATTACATTCACTGCATGTAACAAAAGCATCATCAAATTTAGTATGCTAGGACTATCACTTTTTTGGTGGTATAGGGTCCACCTCTAGCTCTACAAGTCCTAACTTCATATGAAGGACAACATTTCTTTAGAAATTTGATGGTATCACTCCCTCTCTCTCCTTATAACTGGGTAGCGGATCATAAGCATAATCTTCTCTGGTGAGGACAACAAAGAAAATAGTTCCTGTGTGCACACTGTGTGTGATAATGACAAGACAGTGTCGTGATTTAACGCTACCAATAGTTGATGCAGAAGTCAAAGCTGTTATTTGTACAAATGGTTTTGTGATTCGTCAGAAGCAAAGTGCATGGGCTTTCACAGCAAGAAACAAAAGAAAAGTGGAAGATAAATAAAACAGAAGATAGTGGAACCTTTGCTTCTACCACCAGCAGCATGACAATGGAGTTCACCAATGCATGTCTGCTCAGTGACTCAATAAGCATGCTACAGAAGATCAAGGTGGGGTACATACAAAAACAATGGCTCCGTCTGATACAGCATGCAGTGTTTCACAAAACTCACAATGTTTGTCCCAGATCATGCTGGTGTGAAAGGCAATGAGAGAGCAGATGCTCTGGCTGGCAGTGCGACTATCAGGAATGGGCCCTCAATGGACAGGAGAGACATCATCAATGCCATAAAAGAGACTAAGCGCTGTTAGGCTTTCAGTTCAATGGAAAATGATTTTTCACTGAATAGACTGCATACCATGGGTTAGAACTGCGAGAGGAAAACCCATATGGGAGCCACCCGTCATTACATCAGCCAGAACAGAATGGGAGTTGTTGGCCTAAAAACACTTGGAGACATACTCAGTAGGAGATTTGAGCACTTATGGTCGTGTCTGATGTGCGATGAGCAATAAACAAAAAGTAAACAAACAGAGTAGAAGACTGATAATGAAAGTTGTATAGGTTAATTCCACACCCCCCATCCTGTTTTGCCTTTAAGTGTGAGGTTGCAGTTATTTATTGTATGAGCTCTTGTTCTCTTCCACTTTCCCCTGTCATCTACCAATGCACATCAGGCCTGTGTGGTCGGCTTCATGATCTGTTTGATTTCACAGCTACAACTTTCTATGGAATGAGGTAGCCAGTTTCCCACTAACCATATGCAGTACGTCAACACCTCTTAGGCCACACATGGCAGATGACAATGTTACTTCTCTCTGTTTTCCTTATGGGTCTAAGTAACATACAAGCATAAATGTTGGTTAAGTTAAATGTATATATCTTACAACAAAATATGAAAATTTGACAAATCTATGTTAGATTAGAAACATCTTTAGTCATCTGCAGAGAATGAAGCCATGCTGAACAGAATGAATTAAATGGTAAAAACACAATAATTTATGCGGGTCTTTTTGAGATATCTAAACAAATTCCAGTGAATCAAGAGGTGAGAGAAAGAAACTGATGGATTAAACTGAAAAAAACTTGACAATAATATAAAATAGTATATCCTTGCATTGGAATCCACAGAACCAGAGGAATAAAAGGGGAGACCAAAAACACTAGCAGAGATTTCTTCTTCTTCTTCATAAACATGGGCAGATAAGTTAGGTTGTTTGTCCACTTCTAGACTCTAGTCCGGTTCCAGAACCTGAGCATTGCATGCACATCTGTTTTATTACAGGTCAACTCATTTGTATGCAGACTGTTAGTTCCTCGCTGCTCAGGCAGACTTCCAAGGAAGCTTCCAATTAGTCAACTCTTATGAAATGCTTTTAGGTAGGCAGAAGGTCTATTCTGTTCTCCCCACAATAGGGCAGCGGAACCCACAGGGGGAATTAGAAGAGAATTCAGATGGGGAGAGCATGGTATGAGTTTCACGTGACGGCAGAGGCATAAGATAACTTGGCATGTGTCGATTAAGGATCTACACTATGCTGGGAGAAAAGAACAGCAGGGGCAGAATATGAACTCAAGAGAAACATAGACTGAGGAAATCAGATGGGGAGGGCATGGAGTGAGCTGCATGTGACAGCAAGTGCTAAATTGGCTGGAAAGAGTTGGTTGAGGGCTTATGCTTCACTGATGGATAAGTGGTAGAATTAAAAATGTAGTAATAACTGCTGGTTTCAATTTTTAAATTGATATCGTGTATTTCCAACTGTGCAAAGAGTGAAATGACAAAGTAGCTGTGCAAAAACTGAAATGACAAACACATGAACTTACAATCTAGATGGCAAATAACTGGGGGAGTCATCCTTGCTTTTAATGATATCACTGCATTTGTTGATAGTTTCAAATAAATCAAATGTGTCTCCAACACTGAAGATGAGAGCAAGACAACGAGCCAAAAGTTTGCGGGTTGGGGGTCCTGGTGACTCTGTGATCTGTGCTGTCAGTTGCTCCACGAGCCTTTTTTGGCTGCCCTTAATGTCAGACTGAAAGAGTTTTATAAAACAGCAACTTTGTAACTTTGAAAACAATAAAAGCTAATTACATGTACTGTTACATATACTGTACATGGCTACTCATGTGTGATAAGATCATTCAAACAATTTCCGTCTCTAAAATGAAATTAAAATTGTACACTTGGACAACTACTGTCTGTGACAGCAAATACATCTTATCATGACTATTTTTCATTTTGTCAAAATCTCCAAATGGAGTAGAAACCATTAACTATTTCTCATATGCCCTTTAAAGACTGCCCAGTATTACGCATGAAAGTCACCCCATCTCTTCAGCCGCAAGAATTTATAGCAGTCTCCATGGACTGTCCTTTGTTCTAGGGGTGTTATGAGATGTCTCCCTTCGACATCTATATACAGCGTACTGAAAAGTCGCTCAGGTTCGTTCGACGCAACCGACACTCAGTCTCCCAGACGAAAGTGTGCAGCTTTCTTTTCGCAACTCTCTTTTCTGTGAACCAATTTGTTTCAGGAATGTGCTGTTGATGTCAGTAGGTCTCAGGCGCCTATGTGCAAGGAAGTGGTTTTGCAGGTGAAAGTGTCAAAGGAGCAACGGTTCGTTAGTATTGATGTTTTTTGTATTTCTGCACTTGTTAATGATGACTGTCATCGATGGTGAATGCGCTTAAAACCTTCAAAACATGGAACATGACACCCCTAGACTACAGATGTGTCCCAGGAAATCCTCTACGAAATCTCATGGCCAACCAGATGGGGTGACTTTCTTGAGTTTTACCGCCCCTCCTCATTTTACCAATTTTTAGTGACTGGGGGAGGATAGGTCGGGGTGGAACCTGGGGATTTAAGGCCACATGCTAGCTCAGTTACCACTACCCAGGTTGGAATTTGTGTGTATGCCCAGAAGAAATATGTGCATCACCTTATGAAAAATATGAGCTTGAGTCTCCCAAATGAAATTAATAATCACTGTATTTATAGTTCAGAATTCAGGCTAGGTATAGTTAATCTCGCAGGGATCACTTCCTCTACTGTAAATATAACCAATGTGTGTGACATTTTGTGTGTGTATATGTTTCTGAACACCCCTTTTCATTTCATTTTTTTCTGTAATTTCCAGGTTGTTTTTTTACTTAGAGCACTAAGCTCCTTTTTTCATGTGGATTACTTTACAGATAGATTTTTGCCAATTTGTTTTTGTATCTAGCACCATTGTTGTTTTGTTTGCTGAGAAAAGCTTCGGTCAAAATGATCACTTGTACCTGTGCGCATAATTTCCTTCTCTGTGTTGAAAATTCTTAGTCATATTTTATGTTTATTTAGCTTTAAATATTCGCTCAACACCTATTTTCGATACAATGTTATGACATATTCAAGACAGATTTTTCGTTTGCATTGCTCTGAACAGCTTATTTAATTTTTGCCTAGGACTTTACCATTTGTTTCTGTATCTTATAATAAAAATGTAATATATGTTACGCAGGTCTAAGAGACATAATTCCCTCTTCAGCATTCTGAGCTATTCAGGTTCATTGGTGCAGATATTACACACTTCAATGCCTCTCTGTGTTTGGCCCTCTCTTTCCCATTGGTGACTCAAGTGTCTGTAGGTCTACCTATATATTAACTCTTCACTGTCTTCTTAGTCAGCATCAAGGTTTATGTCTCTTCTGTTTGAAGTTTCTGCCTCTGCTAACTGCCATTATTTCATTATGCCCCGACCATCATAGTCTGTCAGCAAAGAGATAACAGAAAGGGAGAACAACAACAAACTCTGAAACCAGACCTGCCTTTAGTAAATCAATACACTAACTATTATGGCACCCCTCCCCCCTTCATTCCCACCTCCATCTGTGTGAATTAATATCTACATCTGCAATGAAACACTTTTATAGAGAAGCAGTGATTCACTAAAATAAAACAAAACTGACAGACAAAAAACATGTGCTCTGCCCTTGAAGATAAAAGAAAAGTGAGTGTGATACTTGACATTCCTTTGTTCTGAGTACATGCATGGATAGCAAACATAAGATGAACACCATTATTTCAAATAAAACAAAAGGATAGGGAATCAAATCAAAGAGGATATGTTATGAGGCAGTACATATGCAACATTAAGCAGAAATCGGAGAATGGAAAGCCCTCCCTTCCCCCCTCCCTCCCACACACATACACACACACACACTCACTCCCACACACTCACTCACTCACACACTCACTCACATCTCACTCACTCACTCACTCACCCCCCCACCCCCCCCCCCCACTCACCCCACCCACCCCCCCCCACTCACTCACACTCACACCCACTCACTCCACCCCCCTCACTCACCCACTCTCAATCCACCCCCCACTCCCCCACTCCCCCCCCCCCCCCCCCTCACCCCCACCCACTCCCCCCCCCCTCCCCCCCCCCCCTCACCCCCACCCCCTCACACCACCCCACCCACCCACCACCCCCCCCCCCCCTCCCCCCCCCCCCCCCACACCCCACCCACCCTCCCCCCCCTCCCCACACCCCCCCACCCACTCCCACCCCTCACCCCCACTCACTCCCACCCCCCCACTCACCCCCCCCCCCCCCACCCCCCCCCCCCCCACCACCCACCCCCCCACCCCCCCATCCCCCCCCCACCCTCACCCCCCCCCACCCACATCACCCCACCCCCCCCCCCCCCCCCACTCACCCCCCCCCCCCCCCACCCCCTCCTCACCCAACACACCCCCCTCACCCACCCCCCCACTCACTCACCCCCACCCCCCCCCCCACCCCTCCCCCCTCACTCCTCACCCCCCCACTCACCCACACACACCCCCCCCACCCCCCCTCCCCACACCACACACCACCCCACTCCCACCCACACTCCCCCCCCCACCACACACCCACCCCACTCCCACCCACTCACACCCACCCACCCACCCCCCCCCCACCCCCCACCCACCCCCTCCCCCCACACCCCCCACCCACCCACACACCCCACCCACCCCCCCCCCCCCCCCACTCACACCACCCCCCCACCCACCCACCCCCCTCACCCACCCCCACACCCACTCCCCCCCCCTCACCACTCACCCACACACCCACCCACCCCCCACCCCCCCCACCCCCACCCCCCCCCCCACCCACCCACCCCCCTCACCCACCCCCCCCACCCACTCCCCCCACCCCCCCCCCCCCCCCCACCCACCCCACCCTCCCCCCTCCCCCCCTCCCTCCCCCCCCTCCCACCCACCCCCCCCCCCCCCACTTACCCCCCCACACCCCCACCACCCCCCCCCACCCACCCACCCCCCTCTCCCCCCCCTCACCCCCCTCACCCACTCCCCCACACCCACACCCCCCCCCCCACCACTCACTCACTCACTCATACACACACACTCACTCACTCACACACACACTCACACTCTCACTCTCTCACTCACTCACACACACACTCACTCACACTCACACACACGCACACAGACGCACAAACAAACTCGGAGAAGAGAGTGAGAAACAAGGATAAAAAATTTCTAGATGGAAAGATTATTTAATGACTCATAGGTGTTTTGAAATTCTATTTATATTCTTACTCTATTTCTCCCTCTTCTGTATATTTCTGGCTGAAAAGTGTGTGGGAGTGATATATACTCTCTATGTCTGGATTGTATACTTGTGTGTGTGTGTGTGTGTGTGTGTGTGTGTGTGTGTGTGGGGGTGGGTGGGTGGCTGGGTGTGTGTGTGTGCATGTGTGCGCGTGTATGAGTGTGTGCGTGTGTGAGTGAGTGTGTGAGTGTGTGTGTGTGTGTGTGTGTGTGTGTGTGTGTGTGTGTGTGAGTGTGTGAGTGAGTGTGTGAGTGAGAGTGTGTGAGTGAGTGAGTGAGTGAGTGAGTATGTGTGAGTGAGAGAGAGAGAGAGAGAGAGAGAGTGAGAGTGAGTGTGTGTGTGTGAGAGTGTGTGTGTGAGTGTGAGTGTGAGTGTGTGTGTGAGTGAGAGAGAGTGTGTGAGTGAGAGAGAGAGTGAGTGAGAGAGAGAGTGAGAGAGAGAGTGAGAGAGAGTGAGAGAGAGAGTGAGAGAGGGGGGGGGGGGGGGGGGAGGGAGGGGACAGTGGGGTGTGAGTGAGTGTGGGTGTGGGTGTGGGTGGTGGGGGGGGGGGTGGGTGTGTGTGTGAGTGTGTGGGGGGGTGGTGTGAGGGTGGGTGGGGGGTGGAGTGTGGGGGGGTGTGTGGGTGTGGGGGGGGGGTGGGTGTGTGTGGGTGTGTGTGTGAGGTGTGTGTGTGTGGGGGGGGGGGGTGTGGGTGGGTGTGGGGGAGTGTGTGTGGTGTGTGGGGGGGGGGGGGTGTGGGTGGGTGGGTGTGGGTGTGGGGGGGTGTGTGTGGGAGTGTGTGGGGTGGGGGGGGTGGGTGGGGGGGGTGGGTGAGGGGGGGGTGGGGGGGGGGTGGGGTGGGTGGGTGAGTAAGGGGGTGTGAGTGAGTGGGTGTGAGTGGGTGGTGTGGGGTAAGTGGGTGTGGTGTGGGGGGTGTGGGGGGGGGGGGGTGGGGGGGAGGGGGTGGGGGGGTGGGGGTGGGGGGGGGTGTGAGGGTGTGTGTGTGTGGTGGGGGGGGGGGGGGGGGGGGTGAGGGGGGTGAGGGTGGGGGTGGGAGAGTGAGGGGGTGAGTGTGAGGGAGTGAGTGAGGGTGAATGAGTAAGGGGGGGTGTGAGGGAGTGGGTGTGTGGGGGGTGGGTGAGTGGGTGGGTGAGGGAGTGTGTGTGTGGGGGGTGTGTGGGAGTGGGGGAGTGAGTGAGTGGGTGGGTGTGAGTGAGTGTGTAAGTGAGTGTGTGTGAGTGAGTGTGGGTGGGTGTGTGTGGGTGGGTGTGAGAGTGTGGGGGGGGGGGTGGGGGGGGAGTGAGTGAGTGAGGGTGAGTGAGGGAGGGAGGGGGGTGAGGGAGTGTGAGTGTGGGTGTGAGTGGGGGGGGGAGTGAGTGTGAGTGAGTGAGTGTGAGTGAGTGAGTGTGTGTGTGTGCGCGCATCTGTGTGTATATGTCTGTTTGTC